TTGAGGAGGATTGGCCCTGAGCTAACATCCGTGCCCATCTTCCTCCACTTTATATGGGACGCCGCCACAGCATGGCCCAACAAGCGGTGCGTCAGTGCGCGCCCGGGATCCGAACCTACGAACCCTGAGCAGGCGAAGCGGAGCGCACGAGCTTAACCGTTTGCGCCATTGGGCCGGCCCCTTGTTTTGCTTTTTAGATGGCTAAACATTTAGGGCATGACATTCTGTAAACCACTGTTGTGCAGAGAAGTTTTCGTCAAATCTGGTCCTCTTAGAGTGAATATTACAAGTGTCAGGTGTCGGATATGTGGATCATCTGCCTCTCGTCCGACTGTCTTTCCCTCTGATTTAAGGTCCCTAATAAACTAGAGTCCCTTGACAGTTCTGAGGTGCTCAAAGACTGCATGCTCATCACCACTTGGCTGCCTTCTGCCATGCATTCATTCACGTAATATTTATTGAGAACTACTCTGTACCAAAACTTTGCTAGGAGTGGGTATACAGATTCTGTTTCAGACGTCGTGGAGCTGTTGCAGCTACCCAGGTATCAAGTCTGCCCCTAAGAGCCCCTACCAGTGTGGCCGGACTATCTCACTGCCACTGTGGGTAATAACTGTTGGCAGTGATAGTGGGCTAGGAGAATATCCGCTCAAACTGCGTAAGCCAGAACCAACAAATGGGTACCCATCCACCAGCAGACTTTCCATGGGTCCTCACTCCGACACTACCAGCATGTTCCATCCCACCAGCCTCTAAGAAGGAGACAGCAAGGGATTACAGCAGAGCTGACTGGGCCTTAGTCAAGCATTAACACCAAGGAGGGAATAGGCTCCAGCTTTCAAGTACTCCTGCCAGTCAGAGGCACATTACAGAGCATTAGCGGTCTTTAAAAGTGGGAGAAGAGGCGTGTCTCAAGTATTATAGGGATGTCTTGAATTTGCAGGATCCATAGAGGGGTACAGGGCAGCAAGGAGTGCCCGGGCCTTAGGGTCAGAGTAACCTGACCCTGGGTTTTGCATCCCAGCACTGCTCCACTCATTCGTAGTGTAGCCTGCAGTAAATCACCTGACGTCTCTGCCCCTGCTTTCTCATCAGAAAAAACAGTTCCTCCCTCGCAAGTGTATCGTGAAGATTAGAACCATGTATGCAAAACACTGGGCACAGACATATGGTAGATCTTCAGTATTTGACACAATGATCAGTACCACTGTCAGTATAGCTTTTATTGTCATTTTTAGTTTTAATAAAATAAGTGAGAGTTTACAGTTTTCTCTTGGTGGTTTTGTTTTTTCAATTTCTTACTCTGAAAATGAATAATTTTTGAGGAGTAATGTGACCTGCAAATGCTTTGAAAATTAATATTTTACTTACATCGTTACGGTTCTTTACAGTTTACAGAGCACTTTCACACTGTAAGGGAGGTTGGGGAGCAGTGCCTCTCTCTTTCTCCAGATGAGAAAACTCAGACTTGGAGAATCTATAGAATGTTCCCAAGGCCACCTGGCTTCCACGTGGCAGGGCCAAAGTGGGAGCTCAGACCTGAACCCAGCGTCCTGACTACCTCAGTGACGTCTCTGGGGCTAGGCCAGACTCTTGTTTACAAGGACTTTTTTCTTTTCCTTGTAGCTGTCAATACCAGCAAATATGCAGAAAGCTATCGGATCCAGACCTATGCTGAGTATGTGGGAAAAAAGCATGAGGAGAAGCAGATCAAGAGAAAGTGGACAGAAGATAGTTGGAAGGAGGCTGAGAGAAAGCGGTTAAACACGCAGTGCGTATCCTATGCTCTGCATAACCACTATCACCACACCAACAGGTAAGAATTCTCGGTTGTCTATTTGAAAGGGCAGAGTCCTTCTAGCAATAGCTTTTCTTGTTGCCTCTCACAGGATTGTAAGTAATAAATCTGACTTTTGAGAAAGAATTTTTTCTAACTTTTCATATAATAGCAAACGTTGCTACCACCTTGATTTCCTCCGTGCTTTTTAGCCCGCAGCTATTTCAGTTAACACTCACAGAGCGCTCTTGAGGCAGACGGGACACCTCTTATTCCCATTTTAAGCGTGAGGAAATGGAGACTCTATGGCTTGCCCACCAGTTCAGAGAGAGCACCAGGTTCAGAGCGGAGCTCTTCTGTGTGTGATCCCTTCCTTTTCTCAGTATGCCACGGGGCCTCTGCCTGGGCTTCTGAATTCCTTTCAGAGCCCATGTGGGCATCCGAACCACCTGCCTGCTATAGAAAGAGAACTTGATGCATACTTCCTTTAATTACCCAGAATCCTACTTTCAGAAGATAAATACTAGTAACATTCTGGTATCTTTGTGACACTAACGTAGGTATAGAAAACAGGAGAAGGAAGGTTCATTATAGAAAATTATAAAGTGTAGAAAAGTGTGAATTAACAGAGGAAAAAATAGCCATAATCCCACTACCCAGAAGGAATCACTTTTAATATTTTGGATTGCCCTCCACACTTTTTAAATGGTTTTTTAGAGATTTTAAAAATTGAGGTATAATGGACATACAATAAAATGTACAGATATAAAATGTTTAGTTCAACGAGTTTTCACAGTGTATACCTGTGTAACCACCACCCAAAGCAAGATACTGAACATTTCTATCCCAGAAGTTTCCTTGTGCCCCTTTTCAAGCACCCCAAGCCCCTACTGCCCTAAGCAACCATTTCTAATTTCTATCACTATAGATTAATTTTATTATGCTTGGAATTTATAAAAAATGGAATCATATTTACATAATCGTATTGTGTTTAGTTTCTTTTGCTTAACATGTTTTTGAAATTCATCATTGGTATTGTGCGTATCAGTTGTTTTTTTTTTTTCTAGAAAGATTAGCCCTGAGCTAACATCTGTTGCCAATCCTCCTCTTTTTAGCTGAGGAAGATTGGCCCTGGGCTGGCATCTGTCCCCATCTTCCTCTACTTTATATGGGACACCGCCACAGTATGGCTTGATAAACAGTGCATAGGTCCACACCCAGGATCCGAGCCTGTGAACCTTGGGCCCTCCACACTTTTTAAATGCACTCAAGCTTAACCACTACACCACCGGGCTGGCCTAGGAGTTTGTTATTTTTTATTGCTCAGTAGTATTCCATTGTGTGAATATACAACATTTACCTGTTCTCGTGTTGGTGGACATTTTAGTTGTTACCAGTTTGAGACCATTATAAATAATGCTGCTGTGAGCATTTCTGTAAAAACAATTTTGTGGGTGTATGTTTTCATTTCTCTTGAGTAAATACCCAAGACTAGAATTGTTGGCTCTTAGGATATGTGTATGTTAAACTTTATAAAAACAAACAGTTCTCCAAACTGAATGTACCATTTTATACTCCACTAGTATTATATGAAAGTTCCGGTTGCTCTGCGTCCTTGTCAGAATTTACTGCTGTCAAATCTTTTTATTTTAGCCGGTCTAGAGGATATAAGATGGTATTGCATTGTGGTTTTAGTTTGCCTTTCTGTGGTGACTAATGATGTTGACCACTTTTTTGTGTGCTTATTGGCCATTCGGATGTCTTCTTTTTGAGGTGGATATTTAAGTCTCTTGCCCATTTTCTATTTGGGTTGTTTGTCTTTTACTGTTGATTTGTAGGGGTTCTTTTATGTATTCTGGGTACACATCCTTTGTCAGATATATGTGCTGCAAATATATTTTTTCAAGACTTGGTTTGCCTATTCATTTTATTAGTGATGTCTTTTGATGAACAGATATTTTTAATTTTGATGAAGTCCTGTTTATGAATTTTTTCTTTTATGATTAGTGGGTTTTATGCCTGTCCAAAAAATCTTTGCATATCCCAAGACTGCGGTGATTTTCATATATGTTTTCTTCTAGAAGGTTTATAGTTTTAGCTTTTACATTAAGTCATGGTCCATTTCAAGTTAATTTTGTATAAGGAATGAGGTAGGAGTCATGGGTTATTTTTTTCTCTATGGATATCCTGTTGTTCTAGCAACATTTGTTTAAAAGACTTTTCCTTCCTCATTGGATTGACTTGGCACTTTTGTCAAAAATAAATTGACCATGTACATGTAGGTCTATTTCTGAACTCTTCTGTTCCACTCATTTTTATGTCTGTTCTATGCCGATACCAATTTTCTTATTTCTATGACTAAAGGAAGTCTTAAAATCAGGTAGCATAAACTTTCCAACATTGTTTTTCTTTTTCTAATTGTTTTGGCTATTCAAGTTCCTTTGTATTCCAAATAAATTTTAGAATCATCTTACCTTTTCTTCACCAGGCCTTCTTTGTAGTTTTTACTGTACAGGTCTTATATGTCTTATGTTAATTTTCTTTCTGAATATTTTATATTGTTGATGCTGTTGTAAATAGAATTGTTTCTTAAAACAATTCATTCATTTTCAGATTGTTTGCTTCTTCTATGTAGACATATAATTAATTGTTGTATCTTGACCTTGTATACTGTAACCTTTTAAAATTGGCTTGTTCTGATAGGTTTTTTTTTTAATGTTCCACAAAGTTTTTTATGTACACAATCTTGTTGGCATGCTATTAACAACGTTTTATTTCTTTTCCAATCTTTATGTCTTTTGTTTCTTTTTCTTGACTTAACTGCACTGACTAGCACTTCTGGTATATTGTTAAATAGAAGTGGGGAGAGTGGCTATCCTTGCCTTGTTTCCAGTATTAGAGAGGGGAAGTTCAGTGTTTCCCCATGAAGTATGATTCTTAGATTATCTATGCAAGTCCTTTTTTAGGTTGAGGTTCCCTTCAGGAGTCCTTTCAGGCTCCCTTCCATTTCAAGTTGCTAAGAGTTTGTATCAAAATAGATGTTGAATATTTTCAGATGCTCTTTCTGTATCTTTTTAAATTGTCATGTGGTTTTCATCCTTTATTTTGTTAATATTTTGAATGACACTGATTGGTTTTTGAGTGCGTAATCAGATTTGCATTCCTGGGAGAAATCCCACTTGGTCATGATGTATTATCCTTTTTACGTGTTGCTGGATTTGATTTGCTAATATTTTGTTAAATGTTTTTGTGTCTTTGCTCATGAGGAATATTAAAATATAATTTTCTTTTATATCTTTGTCAAGTTTTGGCATCAACATATGCTGACCTCATAAAGCTAGTTACGAAATTCCTCTTCTGTTATTTTCTGACGGTGTGTATGGTATTTTTTCTTAAATTTCTGAGCATAAAGTTTTTTTGTGGAATGGTTTTTGATTATGAACTCAATTTCTTTAATAGATCTGAGACTATTTAGATTTTCTATTTCTTCTTGTATCACTTTTAATAATCTGTGTTTTTTAAGGAATATTCCATTTCCTTTAAGTTGTCAAATTCATTAGCATAAAATTATTAGCTCTAAATATTCCATTATAATTTTAATATCTGTAGGATCTTTAATTGTTTCCCTTTAAAATTTCCTGATATTGGTAATTTGTATTTCCTCTGCTTTTTCCTTGCTGGATATTTATCAGTTAATTCTTTCAAAGAACTAACTTTTAACTTCATTGGTTTTTCTCTATTCTTTTTCTGTCTTCTTTTTTCATTTATCTATACTCTTGTTCCTACTTACTTTTTTCTGCTTATGTTGCGTTTAATTTGTTATTCCTTGTCTAGCTTCTTAAGGTGGGAACTTAACTCACTGATTTTTTTCATTTCTTCTTTTCTAATAAAAGCATTTAAAGTTGTAAATTTTCGTTTAGACTCTGCTTAGCCACATCCCATATAGTTTGATATGTTGTCTTTTCACTATCATCTATTACAATTTTTTTTCTAATTTCCCCTCTGCTTTCTTCTTTAACCTGTGAGTTATTTAGAACTTTTTTGATAATTATTGAGACTTGTTTTATGGCCTGGCATTATGGTCTGTCTCGGTAAATGTTCCATTAATATCATTTTAGGTTACATTAGTTCATGGTCTTACTCAAATCTTCTGTATCTTCACTGATTTTTTTTGGTCTACTTTTTCTTTCAACTACTGAGAGGGGTGTTGGAATCTCCAATTATGGTTGTAAATTTGTTTATTTCTCTATTTAATTATATAAATTTTTTGCTTCATGTATTTTGAAGCCCTTTTGATAGGTATATGCCCATTTAGGATTGTTATGTCTTTTTAATGAATTGCCCCTTTTATCATTATGGTGTATTCCTATTCATTTCTAGTAATAATCTTTTTTTTGATGTTTGTTTTGTCTGATATTAATATAGCCACTCTTGTTTCTTATGCTTGCTGTTTGCATTCAGCCTTTTACTGACAACTTGTTTGTCTTTATAATTACAGTGTGTTTCTTGTAAACAGCCAGCGTAGTTGTAAACAACCCAAAATAGTTGGGTCTTGCTTTTTTATGCATTCTGACAATCCTTGCCTTTTATAATCTAATTAATGATACAAGTAGGTTTGTCTCCCATCTTGGTATTTATTTTCTATTTGTCCTACTTATTCTGTGTCCCTCTGTTCCTCTTTTCTGTCACCTTTTGGATGAATTGTTTATTATTTAGTATTTACTGATATTTTAGCATCCCATTTTATCTTCTCTATTGACTTTTTGCTTATGCCTCTTTTTGTTGTTCTTTTAGTCATTGCTCCAGAGTAGTGGTTGGCAAATGATAGCCCACAAGCCAGATCTGACCCACATCTTTTTATAAAGTTTTATTGGAACACAGCTATGCCCATTAATTTACATATTGCCTGTGGCTGCTTTGCGTTACAGTGGAGATTTGGGTAGTTATGACAGAGATCTTATGGCGCACAAAACTCAAAATGTTAACTATCTGTCCCTTTACTGAAAAGTTTGCTGACTCCTGCTCTAGAGCTACACTGT